AATCCAGGACGGATGAGCCCTATAGGACCAGTGGTGTGAGTGGCAAAACAGGGAGGGAAAAGGGAGAATGGGTAGGAAAGAGGGAACCAATTACATGGAACTGTGTGTGACCTCCTCCCTGGGGGACAGACAACCGAAAAGTGGATGAAGGGAGACGTCGGACAGGGCAAGATATGACAAAATACCCATTTATAAACTATCAAGGGCTCATGTGGGAGGGGGGAATGGGGAGGGAGGGGAAAAATGAGGACCTAATGTCGGGGGTTTAAATGGAGAGAAAATGTTTTGAGAAACGATGTACAAATGCGCTTTACACAATTGATGTGTGTATGGATTGGGATAACAGTTGTATGAGCCCTAATAAAATGTTAAAAATAAATAAATAAATAAAAGGATAGTAGTTAGGAACTATAATGTAGAAGTTAAGATTTTAGAAACTGAAAAACAAAAACAAAACAAAACAGGGCTATCTACTCCCCTCCGTCACTTCGATGTCAGTTTGTCGTACTGTGGTGGCTCGTGGGTTGCTGTGACGCCGGAAGCTATGTCATTGATATTTCAAATGCCAGCAGGGTCACCCAAAGTGAACAGGTGTCAGTGGGGCTTCCAGCGCTAAGAACAGACAACCAAGAAGGGCTGGGCTCCCCCCTTCGCAGAGCTTTGAAGCACTTTCAGATACTGAAAGCCTCAACAAAGGAAGCAGAACATTGTCAGAACAATGGAATACCTTCTGAAATGTTTCAGAAAACTGAAGAAGCACTGGCAGCACTCACTCGCCCATGCCACGAAATATGGAAGACAGCCAACTGACTGGAAGCTATCTGGATTGGTGCCCATTCCAAAGGAAGGTGACCCACCAGAATGCTCAAACTATAGAATGATATCATTGATATCAAAAGTAAAATTTTGCTTAAGATCATCCAACAATAGTTGCAGGGAACTGCCAGACATTCAGGCTGCATTCAGAAGAGGACATAGAACAAGGGATATCATTGCTGACATCAGATGGATCTGGACTCAAAACAGAGACTACCAGAAAGATGTTTACTTGTGTTTCGTTGACTATGCAAAGGCATTTGACCGTGTGGACCGTAATAAACGATGGATCGCCTTGAGAAGAACGGGAATTCTGGAACACTTCATTGTGCTCATTTGGAACTTGTACATGGATCAAGAGGCAGTTGTATGAATAGAACAAGGAATACTGCATAGTTTAAAATCAGGAAAGGTGTGAGTCACAGCTGTATCCTCTCACCATGCTTGTTAAATCTATATGCTGAGCAAATCATCAGAGAAGCTGGATTATATGAAAAAGAGTGTGGCATCAGGACTGGAGGAAGGCTTATCAACAACCTGCAGTACGCAGGTGCCCTAACCTTGCTTGCTGAAAGTGAGGAGGACTTGAAGATGAAGGTCAAGGATTGTAGCCTTCAGTACGGATTACTACTCAATGTAAGGAAGACCCAAATCCTCACAACTGGACCAATAGGTAACTTCGTGATAAATGGGAAAAAGGTGGAAGTTGTTGAGAATTTTATCTTACTTGGATATACAATCAATGCTCATGGAAGCAACAGTCAAGAAATCAAAGATGTATTGCAGTGGGTAATCTGCAGCACAAGACCTCTTTAGATGTTGAAGAGCAAGGATGTTACTTTGAAGACTAAAGTGCGCCTGACCCAAGCCATGATGTTCTCCTTCGCATCACGTGGATGTGAAAGTTGGACAACGAATAAAGAAGGCTATCGAAGAATAGATGCATTTGAATTGTGGTGCTGGACAAGACTATTGAAAGTACCATGGACTGCTAAAAGGACACTCTGATCTGTATTGGAAAAAGTAAAGACAGAGTGCTCCGTAAAGGAAAGGATGGCAAGACTTCTTCTTACATATTTTGGACATCCGAGGATGTACCCCCCTCCCCCAAAAATAGTAAAAGTCTCTGGGCAGAGCTTTCTTAGTATGCATTTTTTCCTGTTAGTGCACCCAGTGACATGCTTAAGAAGGTTCTCTGGTCACAGTGAATTTTTTTCATAAAAGCAGTTTTGCTTGAGCCTTGTTTTTTGTGACGGCTGACAGAAGAGAACAGTGTGCGACTGTGAAATTTTGTTTCTTACTCGGGGAAAAATGCCGCAGAAACTATTGTGATGTTGAACACAGCTTACAAGGACAGTGCTATGGGAAAAACTCAAGTGTACGAGTGGTTTTCTCATTGTAATAAAGGTGAAATGTCGATTGATAACAAAACCTAGTTCTGGATGTCCGTCAACTTCCCAATCGTATGAAAATGTCGATAAAATTCATGCACTTGTGCAGTGATGGACCACTGAAGAGACGGGGAAGTTCTCTGGTCTATCTTGGAGCTTGGTTCAGTGAATGTTAACGGAAGATTTGGGAATGAGAAGGGTCGCTGCACAATTTGTGCCTTGGATTCTGACTGACCAGGAAAAATATCGTCGAGTAGAAACATGCTGTGCTTTAAAGGAAAGGCTCTGAAGCGACCCAGATGTGATACTATTCTTATGACCCTGAAAGCAAACATCAATCAAGCCAGTGGAAGATGCCATCATCACCTCGCCCAAAAAGAGCATGTCAAGTGAAATCAAAGATCAAGATGATGCTGCTCATTTGTTTTTTTGATGTGAGGTGGGTTCATGAGTGCATTTGGAGTTCAATGGGCTCAATGGCAGTGGGTTTTTTATTTGATTCATATACATAAGGAACGCTTGTGGTGCTGCGGTTAAGAGTTGGACTGCTAACCACAAGGTCAGCTCTTCAAATTCACCAGCTGCTACTCTGGAGAAAGAGAAGGCTGTCTGCTTTCAAAAAGATGGACGACAGCCTTGGAAACCCTATCAGTCAGAACGGATACGATAGCAGTGTGCTTGGGGTTGGTTTTGCATAGGTACATATATAAGCCTCCCTGGGTTTGCTCCTTCAGAGAACTCGGCCTAAGATACCACCCTTCAAGGTCAAGTTAAGGCGCACCTCTTTGTGAAATTTCCCATATTCCTTCAATTCTGGTTCCTCAGAGCATTTACTCTTTGCTTCTTAATACATATTGTACCTTTTCATCAGAGGCCCCTTCAGTAATGATCAGGCTGAAGACTTCTGAAGTCATCCCATTTTGTCATGCAGTCACTACCCACCGCTTCGCCTGCAGGGTCTTCTTCCTGCATTGTGCCGTCTACGCTTTCTGACTCCCGTGTGATTAAAAATGATCACTTTTCTGGAGCCCAGTCTCCACTCATCTAATCGGATGGATGGTTTCTTTCTGCCCTTTTAAGAAGATTGATTCTAGAATCGTAGATCACCCTCGCGGGAGAGCTTGCCACAGAACAGGCAGGGTTCGTTTGTCTTGAGCGTAATTTGCATTTCCGAGGAGAGGGACACTACACTATGAGGGCTCCCGGCAGAGAAGGGCCCATGGCGAAGGGCTGAGGAGGCTGCAGAGCTTCCTGTCCTGTGTGATCCCAGAGCATTCTAGTTTGGTGTGTAATCTGAAGGGGGAGTATAGATGACAGATGAGGTGAGAGATGACAGCAGGGGATGAGATCCCAAAGCCATCTTAAACTTGTTAGACTTTTAAGCACAGGGAGATCTTATAGTCATACGAAGGACCATGGCATGATCTACTTTTTTTAAAGGCCATTCAAGCCAGTGTGTGGAGAATGGATTTGAGAGGACAATTAATTCTACTAGCTTGTGGTATCTTGATGGGATATAACAGAAGTCTGTACCAGGATAAGAAATGATGAAAACTGTAGTTCGAAAGCTCTAATTGGATGTGAGGGATTGAAGGGTGAGAGGGACTATGGCGTAATAAGGAAGCTAGGTTTCTGGCTTTAGGAAAAGTACTCCCTTGCTTACAAAATGCTGGAGAGACATTCCATTGCTGAATTTTGAGTAAGGTGATTTTTAAGTAAATTGAGTTTATTCTTAAACACCAAAGTTTCCTAATTTTCTTAGGCTGTTTGATTGGGGATAGCAACTCCCTAATACAATGGTTATTAAAAGTATGGTGCGATAAGAGTCACCAGTGGACACTGAAAGTAGCTTGCTAAAAATGCAGGTTTCTAGGCTAGCAATCCAAGATTCTGGAGGACTCATTGAGGCCCAAGATGTCAATAATCAGTTCAGGCGCTCTGAAGCAGGAAATCCCGATCATACTTTAGAACACCAATAACATTTATTGTAGTATTATTTGTGATAGCTAAAAGGTAGAATAACCCATCTCCATCAATAACTGCTTTGATAAATAAAATATGGTCTGTGTTTATGTTTTAGTGATCTAGTGATACTCTAACAGAAATGCCTCAAGTGGGTGACTTTAACAAACACATTTATTCTCTCAGTTTAGAAGGCTGAAGTCTAAATTCGGGTGCTGACTGGGATGGCTTTCGGCCAGCTCTGGAGAAAGGGCCCCAACAGTCCTTGGATGTTTACATGTGTCTTGACATCAGCCTTCCCCTGGATGTAGAAGATTCCAAGTGTAGGAGCCCCATGTCCAGAGGGGGTCTGCTTCTGGCTTTTCTGTCTTCCAGGTAGTCAGGACCCCCTGTGGTCCCTCTCTTCTTGGATCTCTTGGGAGGTAAAAAGTTTTAAGTCCCACACCCCAGGTTCAACTCCCCTTTAGAGGATCCAGGTTGTGACCTAAAGCTTTTTGGCCCCTTCTTAATTGGATTACAACTGTTTTGAGTTGATCCCATGGGTGGGTGGGTGGATGTGGTGATGTCATCATGAGATACCTTAACTGCTAAACCACCGAGAATCCTAGCTCAGCTTGATGTATAGGTATATAGTGGTGCTGGGACTACAATTCAACCCAGGACGCCACCTAATGGGATATTACTCAACCTTGAAAACGGAAATGAAGTGCTGACATGTTATGACGTTGATTAATTATCATAAACATCATGTTGAAAGAAGTCAGACACAGAAGGCCAAACACAGTGATTCCACGAATAAAAAATATTTAGAATAGCACCCCCCAAAAAAACCCGGAAACAAAGTTTATTAGTGGTGACCAGTGAGAGGGGGAGACAGAAGTTCTTGCTGAAGGAGGGCTGAGTTTCTGCTCGACGTGATATGACAGCCTTTGCCAATGGGCGGTGATCCTACAAGATGGTGATTCCAATGAGTAGCACAGCCCCGTTCACAAGATGACAAACGCTTATACAGTGACACATACACACCTAGCCTCGGTTTCAAACAAGGCGGCCATCTGCCAACACGAACTCCCGGTCCTTTTTTGCAGCGTCTCCCCCTCCGGACGCGGCACCTGCCTGAGCGTCCCCAGGGCTGGGGCTCCGTCCAGGGTCCAACGAGGTCCCTCAGGGCCAGGGCATGCCCTTGCTACAGCCGCATGCCCAGCGCGCCCAGGGCGATATCTGGGACCGACGGGACCCTCTCTGACTGCTCGCCGAGCGAATCCACGAAGGCGCCGCTTTGCACAACTTTTGTTTTCCATAGCTGGGCGGGCTGGGCAACAAGGGCAGCGAGGGCCGCTGGAGAGAGAGAGAGAGGGGATGAGGACGCGCTGGGCAGGGCAGCGCCGACGAGAGCTGGGCGAAGCGCCTGTGCCTTTGTTGGGGCACCTTCGCGGGGTCTTAATTCCCGGGGCCCGGGCGGGGGCGACGAGAAAGGCTAGGGTCTCCCGATTAGCGACCATTTTGGGCTGCCTGCGCCCCTCCTCCGGGGCGCCCGCCTGTCCTCGACAGAGCTGCTTCCGTGGCTCCGGAGCCCTCCAGATCTTGGGGGCGCCGTGTGGGGGGCCAGGTGAGGGGCCGCGGGGCTCCCCCGGAGCCG